CCTCACTGAAAACTGCCCCTCAGCCTCCCTGAAAACTCCCCCTCAGCCTCCCTGAGCACTGGACCTAGGCCTCCCTAAATAGTTCCCATGACTCCTGTAATAATTGGCCCTCAGCCTGGGTGAAAAGTGACCAATATTGTGGCTGAAAACCTCTCCTTAGCCTAGCTGATGTCCTTCTCTGAGCCTGCGTGATAACTACCCTCAGCCTCCCTAAATAGTGCCCCATGGCCTCTCTAGAAACGGAACCTCAGCCTTGCTGAAAACTGATCCTATCCTCCATGAAATCCTCCCCGCAGCCTCCGTGAAATCTGCTCCTCAGCCTCCTTGGAAACTGCCTCTCAGCCTCCCTGAAAAGTGCCCCTCAGCATCCCTGAAACGGGCCCTCAGCCTTACTAAAAACATCCCCTCAACCTCAGTGATAACTGCCCCTGAGCCTCCCTGGAGCTCGAGGAGAGCGGCTGCATCCCGCCATTGGCAACTCCTTCCAGGTCTGTCCGCACAAACCAATCTGACTGACAAACTCTTTCCCGGGCAGGGCTGGGGCGGGGGGTGGGGGGGGTGGGGGGGGTGGGGGGACGTTCCCAGACATCCTGGGCAGTAACCAGACTGCTGGTGTTTAGAGTCGCTCTGGTCCCAAAGCGTGTGTGCCGGGCAGTGTACCTGTGGGGGCCTGGCACTGCATGTGTTTCACGTATACGATGTGACAGGTTTGCACACGTGTGTTCTCCCATGGTACTGCCACCACAGGGCGTCATAAACATACCCAGGACCTCTGAATGTTACCCTCTGCTTCCCCTTTTCTTAGCATAAAAAAGCTTTACATGAAATCTACCTTAACAACATTTTTTAAAAAGATTTTTATGTTTAGAGAGAGGGGCAGAGAGGGAGAAATAGAAAGAAACATCAATGTGTGGCTGCCTCTCGGGCACGCCTTACTGGGGACCTGGCCCGCAACCCAGGCATGTGCCCTGACTGGGAAACGAACCAGTGACCCGTGGGTTCCCAGGCCGGCACTCAGTCCACTGAGCTATACAAGCCAGGGCCTAATGACATTTTACATGCACAATACCACGTTGTTAACTACACGTACTACCTCCCAGATTGCCCCAAATCTCTTCATGCTGCACTCTACACACTCTGGACAGGGGGGCCGACGTCACTGAGGAGCCGGAGGTGGCGGCCGTGTCAGTAAAGTCGGAAGTGTCACTGCCCAGCTGGTTCTGCAGGCACATCGGGCCACCGCCCTCTGCCCGGGCACCTGCGGGCTGTGTCCAGGGAAAGGACAGTGTCTGGGAGATGTCCCAAGGTTAAGGGTTCGGACAGGAAAGCCTGTCAGTCATCCAGAATTCCTGGGTCCTGTCCCGGGCCTCATGGTGCACAACAGGGCGCCTCTCACCAAGGCTCCGAAAAGCTCAAATTCTGAAGCCACAAAAAGGAATGAAACACCACAACAACATGGTTCACGGTGAAAATTAACCAAGAACACACTTCACTGGAGAAATGACAGGAACCCAGCTGCCCTTTTCCACCCGGACAGCCTGTCCCAGGCCCACCATTGATGAGGCCTTTCCATCCCCTGCCGCTGGGGCCCAGCCCACCCTGCCTGCTCCCCAATCCGGCTGTGAACCCCAGCTGTGGTTGGGGACGGTGCTGGCCACCAGGAACCCTTGTCTGTGGTGTGCTGGGTGCCCTGACGGTGGGTGCTGGAGTGGCTCAGCAGCCTGTCACCTGGGTGCCTCCTGCATCTCCAAGCCCCCACCTGGAGGCCCAGCATGCCCTTGGGAGCAGGGGGACCACAGGGGCCGAGGGTGTTGCACAGCCTGAACTGGGGGCACTGGCGGCTGGGGGTGTCTCAGAAGGGCTGGCCTCTCACTTCCCCCAGCCAGGGGACACACCCACGTGCACCGTGTTCCTGAGGGAAGTTTGCTCCAGACTGTCAGGAATCTGTGGGTCCCGGGGAACCAGCCTGCAGACACCCCCGTCTACCGCAGTGCTGCCAGGGCTGCTCACCCAACCCTCCCGGCCAATAAAGGGGTCCTGACGCCCAAATGCACGGTTTGCCTGCCGCGAAGAACGCCGTCATAAAATCCTGGTCCTTTCATGTGATCCCTGTCCCCCTGTTACAGAGCAAACAAGGGGGGCCTGGGACGATATACTATTATTGAAAGAAGCCCCGGATCCGTTATGTCTGCCGCCCAAGGAAAGATGTCTGTCAATGCCAGAGATTCGTGAAAAGGAAAGGAAATGTTTATTTAATGCTATACAAACTTCAAGTAGTGACCTAATGTCTTTATCAAAAATCCTAAAGTCCCTAAAACCACCCACAAACACACAGTCCTTCCTTCCTTCCCCCTTTGCCCAGTCCAGAGTACTGTATCTCAGGAAAGGAAATAGAAGTCCATGGCTCAGGCAGTCCTCTGGTTCTTCCCAGTTAGTACTCCATCTCGACTGGGAGACCTCCCTGGGTTCCCGGCACCCTCCGCTGAGTCTCCGGGATCTCTGCTAAAACCAGGTGGCGGTTCCCCCTTCTAAAGCTGCGGGGGTCCCCACTCTGGCAAAGGCACGTGGTCCTCTCTCCCAGGGCCATGGGAGTCCCCACTCTGTCCAGGCCGTGTGGTTCTCTCTCTCTCAGGGCTGCAGGAAGGGAGAGTCCCCACTCTACCCAGGCCGCGTGGTTCTCTGCCAATGGCTGCCGGGTCTGGGTTTAAATCCCCCGAGCCAATCTTCTACAGCCCCATTTCCGACTCCTCGTACACTTGGGCACACTTGCCCAATCTGCTGTCTTCTCCAGCTTTTCTGGTCACTATCGTGGGTCTGGACAGGTGTCACCCCATGTCATGGAGCCAATCTTCTCCCAGCTCCCACGCAGGCGCTGTAACTCAGGGGACCTTCCCCCCAGGTCCCATCTTGTGGGGGAGGTCCCTTTCCATCCCCCTGGCCTTGAGCATGGCCATAGCTATTTAGCATATCTAAGTGACCAGCCAAACGCTATAGGTATGCTAAATGACCACCCCATGGATTAGCTGCAAAGCTGCCCTGCATGTTCTTGCTCTGTGTGCCCCTTCCCCCAACTCACACCTGTGGGGGAAGGGGTGAAGACACCTTAAAATCTCCTGGACACCTTGAGTTCTGGACCCCATTTCAAATGCCTATTTGGGGTCCCCTGTCTTGGCTGCACCCTGTAACACCACAGGCTTCTGCAGCCCCATTTTCCTAACTGCCAAGCTCGGGCTCCCTCCGCCCACCCCCGGATGACACCCGGCCAGGCGGAGGACCAAGTACCCCTCACGCTCGGCCTGTCCCCGAGGTCCAGCTGGGGCAGCAGGGCGAGGCCCGGATGGGGCCACATGGGACCATCACGGGTAGAGGCGCAAGAGGACCCTGGCACAGCCCAAGGGGCGGCTGAGGCTGGGCAGGCGATGGTCTCGCGGGGCAGGGCCTCAATCCCAAAAGGGTGTCCCGAGCTGAGGCCCAGTCTGCTGGGGACAGGCGGTCTCCCCTCCGCATCAGAGGCAGGCGTCTCCCCCGAGTCTCCGGCCACACCGGGCCCAGAGGGCGGCCCACCAAGACACCGGAGGACTCAGGCCCAACAGGACCGGGGTGACCCCTGTCTGACCCGGGGGCCAGCCCCTCCGGCTGGGGTCACCCCTCGAATGCCTTGTTGTTAGCACTCACCCTGCTCCTGGGAGCATCCCGCCGTCCCAGTAATCCTGGACCCCAAACCACAGGGACTCATTCCCAGAATCTGGTGCGCTTGGTGGGACTGACAGTCCTGCCCCACCCCGCCCAGCCCTTGGTTCGCCTAGGGAACAGGTCCGGTCGCTAGGCAACCGCCTGGGGCTTCAACACCACCGTCCCGCGGCATGCTGGGAGTTGGGGTGTACAGGTGGACGTGGCCGGCGCACTGGAGCCTTGTCCCTGGGATCACGCAGGGTGCTGGGGAGGACAGTCCCTCGATGAGGCCCCGCACAGGGCGAGGGGCAGAGGTCGAAGTCCCTCTGAGGAGACGCAGGCCTCAGGGACAGGTCATCTCGTGCATGGGCTGTTGAAGTCAGCATGACCCCCGTGGTGTGGGGGACAACCCCCCAGCCAGACGGTCAGAGATCCGCCCCTGGGGCTGCAATGGGCTGGCCCTCGACAGAAGACCAGTTCCAAGCAGGCTGAGAGGAAGGGACTGGGGGGTGGACGGGGGCGTGTGTTCCAGGCCGAGTGGACTGTCCTGCAAGTGACCCCAGGAGAAGGCAAGATGCTGACAAACTCAGCGTGACCACGGGACCCACGCAGCAACGCCAGCAAGAGTTTGGGATTTGAGGTGCGGGCTGGGGCTGCCAGTTCCCCTAAACGAATCAGGAATGGCAGAGACCCTCCCCAGGGTGGGGTAAGGGTGGGTGGCGGGGAGGGTGGAGGCCAGATCTGTGCTCAGACGCCCAATCCAGCTGCAGTGGAGGAGACTGGACTCGGGAGGCCGGAGGGGAGCCAGAGTGGACAGAAGCTGAGTCAGTGACGGGCAGCAGCGTGGAGGGAGGCGGGGCCTAGGGGGCTGGGCACACAGGTCTGGGAGGGACTCCCTGGGGTGGGGGGACTCGGGAGGAGATGCCTGTGGGGATGACGCCCAAGGGTGTGGACGGGACAGGCTGGCTGGAGTGGCGTGGACTTCGCTGAGGGACTGCGTGGGAGCTGAAGGTGCTCGGCGCCCCACGGGAGTGGGGGGCCCCGGGTGAGCACCTCCAAGGACGGGTGCTGCTCGGGGCGACTGAGGAGGGGGCAGGGCGGGCGCGTTCTCAGGGGAGCGCTGGACGGACGGTGCTGCCATTCCCAGCGATGGAGGCCCCGGGGACACCACAACCCGGACAAGAGGCCACTCCGGCCTTTGGTCCCCGATTCGGGGCCCTGCACCCACAAACCACACCCTCAGCTCCCCTGACTCTCTGTGCACCACGTCCCCTTCCAGGACAACATACCCGAAGTTGCCCACCGAACAGGAATGACAGACAACACCATTTAGAATATAAATTTTATTGGGGTAAAAAATTTTGCAAACATGAAAACACTATGTTAGAGAAATGTTAACACATAAATAAAACTGTAAAAGCACCTATGCTTAAATGTGTAAAGAACTGTACAAAGGCCTCCATAGATGGCATGTTACAGTAATTGTCTCCATGCCCCACCCCAGCTAACCTAGTGACAGCTGAGTGCCCCCTGGCTTGTCTGTCATGGAGTGACTTATAAGTGTCACCCTGGTATGGCACTCCCAAGTGGAAGCCGGGGACATCGCAGTGCCTGAGAGATCAACAAAAGAGCTGCTGGGGTCACACCCAGGACCAGCCAGCCCTCCTGGCCTCTGTTTCTGGAGGAGGCCACAGCTCTCGGGCCCACCGAACACAGCCAGTGGGTCCCTCCTGAGCAACTCAGGACGCCCGGAGTCCCCTCAGGGGCAGCCTGTAGGGCACATGGGCTGCAGGCAGAGGGTACCCCACCTTGCATGGTCCTACCCGTCGGAAGCTTCCCGAAGAAGCTCCTTGGACACGGAAGGGGCTCCGTCCCACCTGGGATCTGTGAAGGCGCCCACGGGAAGGGACCTGGGGAAGGTCAGCACCCAGGATGCTGCTAAGTCCCAGTCGTTGCCAAAGGAGCTGACTCCAGTTCGGGGCTCTGCGTCCTCACGACCTAAGATACCTTCAGCACCAGCTCGTTGCTAACATTCTCCAGACACTCCCGCAGCTGCATCTCACGGAGGGCCGCCACGAGCCCGCAGGGGGACGCGGTGCGCCCCAGCTCGCTCTGCCAGCGCGGCAGTGTCCTGTGGTGCTGCTCCGCCAGGGTCCCCGGGTCCCCGTGCTCACAGGTGACAAGGTCGTTCTCCTCCAGTCCCGCGAACCTCATGAACCTCCTCCAGCTAGATTGGGGAACCTCCTGCCCGCATTCGGAGTAGATCCTGCTCGTGGCTGAAAAGAGAAAATCACGGAGTGAGACTTGGCCTCGGCCCTGAAAGGCAGGTGTGGCGTGTGCTGTGCGCTGTGGGGGTCCCAGCTGGCAACCAGGTCCAGGGTCTGCAGGAGGCCCTGGGCGTCCAGGCTGCCCTCGCAAAAGGGACCAGGCAGGAGGACAGGAGAGTGCGGTAGGACACGACCCGGCCGGGCTCCTGACAGGCCTGACGCTCATTCACACGGAGCCAGGGAGCCCGGCAGAGGGGCCTGCGGGGCCCCAGGGGGGGAAGCCCCGGGGGGTGAGGTGTCCACGGAGGCGGCCCCTCCTGACCCCCAGGACCAGAGAGATTGTGTGGGCAGCAGGGGTGAGGTCTGTAACCTCGCTGGGCTCCCGCTGTCTGACCTTTGGATCTGCCACGTGGGGGGTCCCCCTGAGCTGTCAGAGGACGAGAGTACAAGCAGCACACGGCCTGTCGCTGGTACCACAGGAAACCCTCACCCTCATCCCACTGACAGCAGCGCCGCAGCCCCCGGGGCCTCACCAGGCCTGGGTCACCCAGGCCTTCCTACCGGCCACTCACGTTCCTGCTCAAAACGTGGATGCGCAGTAACGCAGGGCCGCCTGCGTCTGTCCTCACGGGCAGAGGTGACACTGGACGGAGGCCCGTGTGCCCTCCTGTCTGCAGTGAGTATCGGACCGCGAGTCTGATGCCCACGGGACGTCCCTGAGCTGCCTGGGGGCCCAGAGTCCCGCTTCCCAGAAGGGAGGACTTTGGGTCGTGATGTCACACCTCAACAGTCACTACAAAGGAAGGTTTTGGGGGACTTACCCTCAGGGGACCCATCCTTCAAAACATACTTTTCTTCATATTCCTGCAGAGAAAAGGGAATAAAACTTTCAGGAAGAGACTCCGGGGCGGCTTCCTACTGGAATCTGCGGAAACAGCCGCCCGAGTTCGGGTGGGCGGGGCCGGCGGGGGCAGCGGGGCCTCCACACGCTGTCCAGTCAGTGTCTGGGGACGGGGCCCGGCCTCTCAGAAGGGGCAGAGAGCTCACAGCCCAGCCACCCTCCCCAGGACACGGCCTGGGCCGGGCCTACACTGGGCTTCCTGCTGCCCTGCCCTGGAGGGACACCAGCCTGTAGTGGACACTGGACAGGCTCCGCACCCTTCTGAGACCCTGCACACACCGTCCCCCTTCCTGAAGGGTCCCACTCCCGAGGGTCACGTAGGGAATATCTGGTCATCCCGTCAGGTCCTACTCAGCTGTCACGGCCTTGATAGAGCCCCCGATGGAAGGAGGACAGTGAGTGTGCTCTGGACACTGGTGGTTGTGGCAACTGTGTCCGTCCCACAGGGACATGTGGCGCCGTGTGTGCGCCCTGCCTCCATCACCCATGGCCGCCAGGCCTTCCCACTGCAGATGACACACACGGCACACGGGAGGCGCTGGGGCTGGGAGACCTCGGGGGCCGGTGCGCGGTGGAGGCTGAGGGCACAGAGCCGGCGAGCCGGGCCTCCTCCAGGCAGCGCCCTCCCAGGGCTGGGACCTGGGAGATCTCGGTCCCTGGGTCTCGGTGGCCCTGGGGAGACACCATTCCCTTGGACAGCAGGTGTGGTGGGGGCTGTCCAGGCTGCACTTTGTCCCCAAAGATGTGGGCGTCCTAAGCCCAGCAACCAGGAGTGCGGCCTTGTCTGAGTCACTACAGGTGGGACCTGTCCAGATGGGGCCCTAACTCAAAAAGACTAGTGTCCTCTTTTAGGGACACAGACATGCACACGGGGACAACGCCAGGGAACCTGAACATCCGCCCCCAGCACAGGGAGACAGTAACATTCTGTCCTTTAAGCTGCCTGGTCTGTGGGGCTGTGTCTCCGTCACCGGGAAACTCGGACGGGAAATTAGGGCACGCAGGGCAGCACTGCGCACGCCCTGCACGCACACGGCACATGCGTCACACAAGCAGGTGTCCCTGCCGTCACACCTGCCCAGAAGCCCCTCACCTGGTCTGAGGTGTGGAGGGGATCTGCCCCCGCCAGAGGCACCTGGGTCTGCAGCACCTTCTCCGGGGTGGCCCTGCCCCCTTCAGAGACCACTGACTGCAGCTCGACAATGGCCTCAGAGTCCTCAGGGGACCGCACGGCTGCGCCCTGCTGCTCCAGCAGTGGTCTGGGGTCCGCGCCGGCAGCTGGTGGGCCCCGCTCTGCATCCTGGGGCAGCAGACTCACCCTGGGCTGGGTGTCTCCCTGTGACTGAAGAAGAAAGCTGTGACTTTTGGTGGCAGGGGCCTGCAGCGCAGCCCTCCCCAACCACTTCTGGGGGAAATGCCACCTCGTCTGCCAACTCAGCTGGGGACGTGTGGTAGCAGAGAAAAGTACTTCGTGGGGTCAGGTGCAGGGTGGCCCCCCAACTCTGCAGGGAGTCTGAGATGGGGGGCTGTGTTTGAACCCAGCAAGACAGGGCTGCATCCAGACCCCTGGGACCTGGGAATGTGTCCTTTGCAGATGGGGGAGCCGCACTGGACGAGAGTGGGCCCTACGTCCAGTGTCCATTGGGGGTCATGGGGAGACAGACCCACTGGGAAGAAGCCAGGTGAGGACCGAGGCCGGTGCTGACTGATGGGCGCTCACACCAAGGAGCACCCAGGATGGCTGGCCATCTGAGACAAGGTGAGTGCAGGGGCAGGCGGGACCCGCTCCCAGGGCCTTGGAAGAAGCCGGGCCCCCCTACCCCCGACCTAACACCTGGGTCAGACTTGTGGCCTCCACATCCGGGACACGGTCAGTTCTGTCTTTCAGCCCCGAGTTGGGGAGGACGTTTTGCAGCTGCAGCAGGCTGTATAAACCCCGTGCCCCCCTGTGCACCCCGAGGTCTAGGCCAGCACAGTGGGGTCTTCCCCAGCACGGCCGCTCCGGGTTCTAGTGGCGGGAGCGGACGCCGCCCGAAAGGCTGAGCTGCGCACACTGGGGACGCGCAGGGACAGGGCTGGGGGCTTACCGAGCTGGTCCTGCAGTGTCTCTGGAAATAAACTGAAAATGAAGTCCCCTCCAGGGGATGCAGAGGAGGATCTGGCTGGTGGGCTAGGGCTGGGTAGGGAGGTGGCGACCTCCTGCAGCTGGGCCTCACCTTGGGCGCTACCCCCCCCCCCCCCGCAGCTCTACCCGCGCTGCTTCCTTCTCACCTCATGCTCTCTGTCCTCATCCTGAGTCGGAGCCTTCTTCCTTTTCCAGTGTCGCAACAACAAGTACACCACCGCCACCACCAGAAGAGCCACAATAAGAGGCACCAGCACCACCTCAGGCAGGAACGCTGTCCCAGGCTGTGTGTCCCTGAAGATCGGACCTGCAAAGGGGTAGCGTCAACCCCTGAAGGGATCTCTGTGTCCCCAGAGTGCCCAGACTCTCAGTGTCACACAGTCAGGACGGTTTTCCTGAAACGTCTCCCCCCCATGGGATGAGAGGGAGCATGAGGACGCACACATAGTGTCACTGATGTCCCTGCTACACGCCCCCCCACTATCGGTCCCGCCCAGTCAGCGGAGTCTGGTGACAAAGAACGGACTCTGGGGCTGGGGGGCCTGGGTTCCAGTCCCGGGTCTCCTGCCCGACCAGCGCTGTGACCTTGAACTAATGACGTAACCGTCTGTTGCTGCGTCCTGATCAGGGAGAGCATGAAGTTAGTGCTTATGCAGTGCCTGACGCAGGGTGACTGCCATGGAGGTTTCATTTAGTTTTGAAAAGTAAATATATTTTATTTCATCTTTTTTACAGCGAAAAAAGCCCCTATGCGGCTGGTGTGCAAGGTGTCCGTCCTGTCCTGTGTCTCGGCGACCTGCCCGCTCCAGCACAGCGAGCAGGCCCGTGTCCATCCCCCAGGGTAGCCCCCAAGGCACACAGAGTCCCCTCTGGTGGGCACTCAGGCGCTGCCCTTTGTCCCGGGGTCACTGGTTTAAAAATACCCGGTCACAGGGGTCACGTCCCATGGCTGCAGGCTGGCCCGTGGGTGGTCCCCAGAAGTGGGTTTTGCATCAGTCAGTGAGCAGTTCGGGTGCAGACGGCCCTGCGCCCCCACAGCACGGGGCCGACCCCCACCAACACCATCCAACACCGGGAGCACAGACGGCTACGGGGCTGTCTCCCCACAGCCCGCCACCAGAGGGCGCCCACCCCCTCGTTTGTCCTGCTGCTGCCAAATTCACAGGGGGAAATAGTTCCCTGATCCGTCAGATTTGGCGTCTTCCTGGGAGTTTTACCTTTCTGGGAACTGATGATTCCCGTGTTTGCTCTTTTATCCACCATGTTCCTTTATGTTGTAAGGACATTAGCGCTTCCACTGAGATTTGGGATGTATCTATTTCCCCTCCTGGTGTGTTTGCTGAACTTTCCCATCTGCCCCCACCTCCCACAGCCTGGCAGCGTGTGTGGCAGGAAGAGCTCAGAAGGTGTCTGTGACATAAACCACTTCAGGGGAAGGGGCCCACATTCCCGCTCTGTGCCCCGCAGGGACTCAGGTCAGCAGCAGACAACCACACCTTCCCCAGGGACCACCCAGGAGCCCAGGTCAGCAGCAGACTGATGGAAAGCCTGGCTGACCTCTCCTGGCCCAGCAGGGGGTTTCTGATGACACAGGAGACCCCCTCCCCAGAGCGGTCTTCCAGGATCACAGAGGCTGAGGCTGCATGATGGCCCTGGGGGTCTGTGGCCTCAGATGCTGCCTTAGGGGACAAGCTGTGTCCCCTGGCGTCTGTCCACTGGATCTGGGGCTGCGGGTACCAGCCGGCAGACGTGCACTCCAGACGGACCCCTCCAGCCTCGTAGGCCTCCATGTCAATGTGGGGATCAGAGCCCAGCGCTGGGGAGGAGAAGTGAGCTGAATCGTGGGGAGCCCTCTGTACTGGTGGGGTCTCCTCACCAGGGAGGGGCACCCACACTGACGAGCCCAGCAGGGACTCACCAGGAGCTGCTCCCAGCGTGTGCTGTGCAGCAGAGACTGATCCCCGATGGGGCCACTGCCTGACCCTAGCTGGACCCTCGTGCTGGATCCAGGGGGCTCTGGGCCAGAGCAGAGGCTGCTTCCCCCAAGTCCCCTTAGAGACTGCCGCAGCCTCCCCTCCCCCCTGCCCCAGACAGGCTGGTCCCTGGCAGAGCCCCTCACCCCTCCCTGGGCAAGCATGGAGGTGGTGCCCCTTAGCCTAAGTGGGTTGTACACCATTGTCCCTGCCTGTTCTGTGGGGGCTGTGCCCTCCCGTGAGTAGGAGGAGATACACCGTGTCCTGCGGCCACGCGAGCGGTGACTCGTATGCACGGCCCCTCGGGAGGCTCTTTCCGCCCTCACTGTCCGGCTGCTGGGCTCTCCCTCCAGGGTCTCCCCCCGGAAGTGTCCCCAGTGAGGCTGTGCAGAGGGGAACCTTTCCCATGGAGACAGCGGACACAGGGCCAGGAAGCGGGGAGTTACTGCCACCTGTCCCCAGGCCCCTGAACACACGCAGGGGGAGAAAGCCCAGTGAGGACCTGAACACACAGAGTCCTGTAGGACGGCTCTGTCGGGGGAGCCGAGGTCTCCAGGAAGGGACAGCAGGCTCAGGAGGAACCCTAATGGGGAGAAGACCAGGGGGCCACACCGTCCCTGTTCCACCAACCCCCCGCACTCATAGCGACAGGGCAGGGCTGTGTCCACAGAACTTGAACTGCAGCCCTGACGCCCGGACACTGGCACGTTCGTGGGGCAGCACCTCGGACAAGGCGCTTCCTCACTGGGGTGGGTCAGGGCCACATCAAGGCCACTCAAGGGTGGGTGACAGCACAGAGGAAACAGGAACCGTGTGCAGTGACCCACCTCCCTGTGCGGGCTGTGAGTGACCAGTGACACCCGCACCATCCTGACCGCGTCCCACCCAGAGCTCAGCGCTGCTTCCACATCCCCCCGAACAGCACCACGTCCTCCCTGACGCCCCCTCTCTGAGCCACCCCGGTGTCCCCGTCCCCAGGGGAGCGTCCTCCCTCGCTGCACCAAGAACGGACACAACCTGTGCAACTACAGGTGTGTTCCCGGGGGTTTGGTGGGGGACCTGGGCCCCAGAGGTGTTGTCCCTGCAGCTCAGTCTCCTGGACCCACCACAGCGGGCACCTGGGGGTCGCAGAGCCACAGTGTGGAACACACTGAACCCAAACACCCACGTGCCACCCACTGCGGGGAGGTGTCTTCCTCCTTCCCGTCCCCGACCTCCACTCCCCTCTGAGACTGGTGGGCGGCCTGGGGGACTCTGTACTGGGTGCAGGCGGAAGTCACCCTGGGGGACCCCTGGGTGTGTCACAGGCCTCACAGGAGCAGAGATGGAGGTGGGGGGGGCGGATGCTGGTGAGCAGCCCACGTGCTCTGGGGTAGGTTTGCAGCCTCTGCCCCCGCCCAGGGAAAGGAGCCTGGAACAAGCCTGAGGCTCACCTGCCACCTGCAGCTCCACCTGGGCTTTTGCAGAGAAGTCCCCATCTTGGAAATAACACAGGTAGGTTCCGTTGTCAGAGATGCTGATGTTGCGAATCCAAAGAGCGGCCTTCCCCACAGTGATGTCCTCTCGTGAAATCGAAGTTCTCCCTCGAAACTCCTCTGCCGGCGTGTCCTCCTGCCCGTGTGCGTACACGTGCACTACCTGCCCGCGGCTGGGTCGCTCCCACATCAGCTCCATGATCTCAGCGCTCATCTCCGGGGACAGGTGACAGGGCAGGTCTGCGTCTTCACCCACCATGGCCAGGATGGGCTCGGGGGGTCCGACCACAGCAAACTCAGCTGGTCATCAGAAGACGGGGTTTGTCACAGGGAGCTGGGGCTGAGGGGGTGTCCCAGGCAGGGAGGGTGAGGTGACAGACACCTAGACGGGAACTAAGGCCTCACACAGGTGCGGTGTGGACGGGCCTTGCAGGGGTGGGCGGAGTCCCGGGTTCTGGCTGGGCCCGAAGGGGAAGGATGCGCACACACAGACGCACAGCCGGTCCTACCTGAGCAGGGGCTGAGCAGCAGGACCACGGCGAGGCACACAGGGAGGGCAGGCAGTCGGGGCACCAGGCACCTCCCCATCCTGACCTGCTGTGCACAGAGAGAGGCCAGCAGGGGCTGGGCAGCAGGGACCACCTGGAAGGAGGAGGAGGATTCCACATGGAGAGGCTGCCTGCCCAGGGCCGACCCGGGCACCACCGCCATCACTGGAGACCCCGAGAGCCTCCTCTACAAATGTGCCCTGGGGGTCTCTTCCCCTTGGATCCCTCCATGGAAATCAGCCATGAAACGTGGGGCGGTAATGCAGGTACTTTATCCCTCACCAGCAGGGAGCACCGGGCTCTCCTGTGGGAACCTGCTCAGAAGCCCCCCACTTGCCCACACTTCCCTGTCCCAGCCAGGTGCTGGAACCTAGACCACCCTCTGAGGAAGCCAAGCCCCTCTGCTCTGAGTCCTTTCCCGATGTTGCCCCCTGCAGGCCGCACTCCGCACAGCAGCCAGTGGGTCCTGCCCCCTCACCTCCCTCCTGCTCAGCCCCTCCCACAGGTCCCTAGTGATGTAGAGCAGAAACCCAGGGCCTTGGCCCCCTGTGCTTTAAATTATCTGTTTTAGGGGATGGCTGGGTTCGGGGGGAGTGGTTAGGGAAAATGGAGAGAACTGTACTTAAACAACAATATAAATAAGTAAAGTAAATAAATGAAATAAAATAAAATAATCTCAATGCTTAACAGTCTTAAAGTTGCCTGAATGCGGAAGACATTTCCACATATTTTGAAGGATATTTATTGTTTCCCATTCCTATCCTACACCATTTTAACGTATTAGTATAAAAATAAAGAAAGGAAATTTAAATAACTTAGAATGGGAATTACATCCTGTGTTGCACATGAATGTGAACTGCTGTGGATGCATTTGGCCACATGTGCTCAAGGGCCGATCCAAAAAGAGAATTTACTTGTAAAACTTCTGTTTTTATTCTCACACTTTGCCCTTCGGTCACCCTCACATGCTCCCCCCTGGATGGGGGACACCCGTGGGGACGTCCCTCCACCGCCCTGAACACTCTCTGGACTCGGCGGCTCTGACGCCTCTCAGAGCTTCTGCCGTTTTGTTTCACGTCTTAGATGTCAGGATGTTTCCGTTTGTGAACTCTTTTCACCCAGAAAAGAAAAATAGTCGCTCTGGGTGAGATTGGTTGAGTACGGAGGGTGGGGCACGTGGGTTTTTGGTCATAAACTGCTCAACATTATGCAGGTGTGGGCAGGTGGGCTGGTAAATCACCCATCAGGAAATGGGCCAGTGCTCTGGGAGAGTCGTCAAAAATATTCACAGAAGCCCAACGCAACCTCTCACCACAACACCAGCTGGTCACGGATGCAGATGGGCTCCTGCAGCTCTCGCCTGGTCGGGGTGCCTGGACTACAAGGGACCTGCCCTCCTGGAGGTAATTTGTGTGGTTTTATCCTTCCCTCCTCGTGTACCAAATGCCCTGAACAAGTTTTGGGTTTTTTAATGATTTTATTATTTACTTTTAGGTAGTGGAAGGGAGGGAAAAAGAGAGGGAGAGAAACAACCCCCTGTGGCTGCCTCTTGCATGTTCCTCACTGGGGGCCTGGCCCGAAACTCAGGCATGTGCCCTAGACTGGGAATCCACCAGCCACCGTTTGGTTCACAGGTCGGCACTGGAACCCCTGAGCCACACCAGCCAGGGCTGAAAAAGTGTGTCCTTAGCTCTACAGATTACAATGGGAGGAGTTACTCTAAAAGAAAAACTGGCATTAACTCAAAGGTTCATATTTAATTCTGTTCATTAGTAAAACCTACAAGAGCCCAATGTATAAATTTTTGCCAATTTTATTATAATTATAAATAAAAACACGTTATTAAACACATAATCCCCGCCCTGGCTGGCGTGGCTCAGTGGATTCCGTGCCTGCCGGCCTGGGAACCCCAGGGTCACTGCTTCAATTCCCACTCAGGGCACCGGCCTGGGTTGTGGGCCAGGTCCCCAGCAGGGGGTGAGCAAGAGGCAACCACACCTTCACCTGTCTCTCCTTCTCTTTCTCCCTCCCATCCCCTCTCCAAACAGACATAAAATAAATCTTAAAAATAAAAAATGTGCTCTGGCTGGCGTAGCTCAGTGGACGGAGCACGGGCTGCGAACCAAAGCATCACAGGTTCGATTCCCACTCAGGACACGTGCCTGGGTTGCAGGCTAGGTCCCCAGTGGGGGTCACGTGAGAGGCAACCACACATTGATGTTCTCCCTCTCTCTTTTTCCCTCCCTTGCCCTCTCTAATAAATAAATAAAATCTTAAAAAACAAAAAGAAAACGTAATTCCTAGACACACCGTGACATAACACCCAACAGTGAGAAGCCGAAAGCTCCCTCTCTCCGATCAGGAGGAAGACAGACGCCCACTCTCACCACCACCACCCCCCCCCCCCCGCACCAGAGCACTGGGAGTCCGAGCAACAGCGGTCACGCGAGACAGAGACAAACAGCAAGCACATCCGAGGGAGGAGGAGCCTTCGCACTGCTTGCAGACGGCAGGACGCGGTACGTAGGACCGTTTGAGGACCCACAAACTCCCGTTAGAAGGTGGAAATGAAGGCAGTGAGGTCACAGGACACAACGTGGACACGGGTGCACTTCCATGCAGCAGTGACGGGTAACCAGAGGGAGGTGTCATCAGCCCCTCCTGCGGTTGCGTCCGAAAGCAGAAACCACCCGGGAACAAGGTCAGCCAGAGAGCGGACAGCCTGCGCCCTGACGGCTGGAGGAACCGAGAAAGGAGACGAAGAGGGGACACACGATGGAGGACACACTGAGCTCAGGGTTGGCAGGAGCAACTCTGTCACCCCGTCCTCGCTGTCCAAAGCCAAGCGCAGACTCAGGCTGTCCTTGTCAAAACACCGATGGCCTTCTCCTCAGAAAAACGAGGAACCCTAAAATATATTTATTTTACATGACTTGCGGTTTATACCTCACTGAGGCAGACACGTCACGGGGGAGGCTGCCACCTTTCTAACTGGCCTGACTCCCTGCTCAGATTTAAGCCCCCTCCCCCAGTGCAGGGGACTGTGGGCGGAGGGTCGCTGCCCTGGTGGCAGTGCGGGGTGGGAAGGTGATGGAACCCCAGCCCCCCTCACAGACTGCGGGGCACCCAGAGATGCAGGGTGAACCCTGTGCGTTCCTCTCTCGGACAGCTGCCCTGAATCGGGGGGGGGGGGCCTCAGGGGGACCCTTTCACCACAGACGTGTGTCATCCTCGTAGACACGTGTCCTGGCAGCCCGGTCACCCTGTTCACCTGTGACACCTGCCGTTCAGGTGATTCCTAGCAGCAAGGTCGATGCAGGGCGGGCTGCAGAAACCAAAGGACCCCCACGCCTCACTGCGCCCACTCACCCTCCCGGCACTGGGCACATGGCAGGCACGCCGTCTCTGGGTTGCAGTGGGTGGTGAAGGAGCCAGGTTTGCCCAGGCTGCACTCGGTGAGTCGGTCCACGCCGAAGACTCTGCCGGCTTAGGGGCCTGTGGGGTTGGGGGGAGGGCACAGAGGTGATGATGTGGCCCAGGGCACAGACCTCCCCTGGTCCCTGCCGCCTCTGCCTGAGGAGGTGCCACAGCACCTGGGGGCCTGTCTCCAGCACAGCACCAACCCTCAGCTCCTGTCTCCTTGGAACCCTCTGGACGGAATCCCGGCTCCATGTGTCCCAGGGGCTGGGGACCTGACTCACCCTCAGCTCTTCTCAAGATGTTGCAGCTCCGGGAAGAGGGGTGCTGAGTGGGCACCCCAGAGCCCACGCCCACTCCTCCCCCCAGGGCACCTCTGCAGCTTCCTGGCCGTGCCCAGGGGCAGCACTGGTCGTCCAGAAACAGGTGTCCGCCCCGTCCCACGGAGTTGATTTTTAGCAAATAAAAGACCAGGCTTCTTAAGAGAACGTCTCTGGCCACCCTCCAAGGGGTGGGTTTGGGTGTGGCAGCACCTGCAAACGCGTCCCTACGCCCCGCCCCGGGCTCCGGCCTGGCTCCTCCACACGGAATCCTGTCCCCACACCCGGGATTCGCAGCCACCCTTCCCCCACAGACACCCCCACGGACCCGCAGGCAAGGAGTCCGCAGACAGGCTCCACAGAGGCCCGAGCAGAACGTGGACAGTCTCCAGTCCCCTCAGAAAACTGGGGACCCCCCTGAGGTTCCCCAGCGCCACCATCACCTGCACTAGGGCGGGCACCCCGCCGAGCAGAGGCAGCCCCCGCCCGGGGCGCCTGGGACCCTCGGCTCAGCAGGGCTGGAGGAAGGCGGTCCGGGACCGCCCGGGCACTGGCTGCCCGGAGACCAGGGGACCCCAACCACGGGCCGAGGGCCGGGCCCATTACGGGCGTGTTAGGAACCCGGCTACTGGCAAAGCGCAGCCGAACTCCGCGTTCTGTTCCCCACCCCCACCCGGGCTCTTCCATAGAGCATCTGGGGTCCGGAGGTCAGAACAGAAGGCGGCGGGTCTCCCCCTCCCCCACCCGCGCCGGACCCCGCTCAGAGCTCTCACTTTGCGCGCGATGTTGTCCACCCGGGGCAACGCCGGCCCGGCTGCAGGGGTTGCCCTCCCCGAGCGCCCCGCACCCACCTGCGCCCGGACGAGGAGCGGCGGCAGAGTCGGGAGAGGGGAGCGAGGCGACCGGAGCGAGCCCCGCCCCGGAGCAGCGGCGCAGCCGGGTGTCGTGGTTTCAATTACGCGGCTGCCCGCGTGGGTCCTCCAGGTCGGATCAATGGCGACGGGAATCACAGACCGCTCCAGGGCTGCACGAGAGCGCCTTCCTTGGAACTGTGCCCCACGGAGCCACGTGGAGCCAAGACAGGAAGCGGGTGCTTAAAAAAAAGCGCGCCACCCTTCAGACGGCCGAGGGGCCGATCGTCCCTGAGCCCCGGGGCCTGGGGCTCAGCAGAGAAGCACCGGGATGGCTGCCGGGCTGTTCCCCTTCAGGCGGCTCCGGGTGGGGGGGAGGGGCCGCAGCAGGGAGCACCCGGAAGACCCCGCAGAGGCCCCTGCCCCGTCCTCCTGCGGCGCCCGGAC